CAAACTCTTCATGCAGCTCTTCACCTTCACCCTTTACCACCCCGTCGGCACCTGCAGCATGGGCCAGCAGCAGCAGCAGCAGCAGCAGCAGCAGCAGCAGCAGGGGCGCCCCACCACAGCCAACCCCACCGCCACCACCAACCCCACCACCACTAAAACCCGCAGCAGCAACGCCAGCAGCAGCAGCAACGCCAGCAGCAGCAGCAGCAGCAGCAGCAGCAGCAGCAGCAGCAGCAGCAGCAGCAGCAAGAGCAGCAGCAGCAGCAGCAGCAGCAGCAGCAGCAGCAGCAGCTGGTCCTCGAGCGCCGTGGTGGACGGCTCGCTGCGGGTGTGCGGGGGCCTTTGCGTTTCGAATTTGATAATTGCCGACGCCTCAGTGCTGCCCCATTTGCCCTCGGGCAACACTCACCTGCCCACTCTTGCTGCAGCACACTTGGCAGCAGACACCCTCCGCAGCAGCTGGCAGCAGCAGCAGCAGCAGCAGCAGCAGCAGCAGCAGCAGCAGGAGGCTCGTGGCTAGTGGCTGGCTAGCTCGCTAGATAGCTCGCTCGCTGGCTAAGTAGCTAGCTGCCTAGAGGGATAACTAGCTAGCTAGCCAGCTAGCTAGCTGGGTGGGGCGACGCGCATGCCGCCGTTGCTGCTGCTGCTGCTGCTGCTGCTGCTTGTGAGGCGGCAGAGAAGCTGCAGCAAGCCAGACCCAAACTAGCTAGCTAGCTAGCTAGCTAGCTAGCTAGCTAGCTATTGCATGCCTTTCGCTAGCTGCAGCAGCTAGCGACTGGGATGGCTAGAGGGTGATGCGCAGCAAAAAAAAGAATAAAAAAAATAATAAAATCGAAATAAATAAAAATGAAATAAGTAAAAACTAAAATAGAAAATAAAAAATAAATGAAGGCCCGAAGCAGCAAAACTGGAAAAAGAAAACAAATGAAAAGCTGCTGCTGCTTTTTTCTCTTTGATTTTCTCTGCAGCCAAAATAAACCAAAGACCCCTTTGGCCTCCAAACCCTAAACCCTAAACCCTAAACCATAAACCCTAAACCCTTAACTAGGGTTTAGCGTTTGGCGCTGTGGTGCCGAGAAGAAGTGCTGAAGGCATTTGGGGGAATGAAAGAGAAACTTGAAAATTCAATTTTTGAATTTTACTTTACTTCAGAAGTTAGTTGAAAGAGTTTTTAATTCTGGTGCAGAATTAAATAAATAAACAAAATAAAATAAATAAAATAAATAATAAAAGAAACAAAAGAAATAAAGAAATAAAAGAAATAAAAGAAATAAAGAAAAGAAAAGAAGAAAAAGAATGAACGCGTCCACCGCCTGCACAGGCACCTTGGGGTGTACGTACACCTCAACGCAGCGAACTCGCAAAGGAAGTCTGGAGTTGAAAAGCATCTTTTTGTTCTTTTTTTAATTAAAATGCCAAAAATAAGCAAAATAAAGGAAATAAACGCGAGCGGAGCAGCAGAACGGCGTGAACAAAGGTCTAATCGGCCCCCCGCTGCTGCTGCTGCTGCTGCTGCTGCTGCTGCTGCATCTCGCGGGCGCTGTGGTGTCCGTACAGCTCTCCGCAGTGCCAGAGCTTCCAAGTGCGGTCGAAGCCAACGCTCGCCACCACATCCCCCCCGCCCCCAGTTCCGCTGCCGCTGCTGCTGCTGCTGCTGCTGCTGCTGCTGCTGCTGCTGCTGCTGCTGCTGCTGAGGACGTCGAGGCCCATCACGCGGCCGTCGTGGCCCGAAAGACTCTTCTGCAAAGAGAAGTCCAAACAGCTCCAGACTTTGACGAGGCCGTCGAAGCCTGCGGTGTACATACACCTGCCGGTCTCGGGCTCGAAGAGGCACTCCTTGACCATCTTGGTGTGCGCGGGGATCGTCAGCAGCGGCTGCGCTGCTGCTGCTGCTGCTGCTGCTGCTGCTGCTGCTGCGGGGGGGGGCCTGCGGAGGTCCCAGAGCTTGACGGAGTTGTCCTCTGCTGCGGTGGCGAGCCAGTTGCTGCAGACGGGGTGTACAGACACCGCAAGGCTTTGCTGCACGTGAGCCCCCAAGTCCAAAACTCCTCTGCCACTTCTTAAATCCCAAACTTTCACAAATCCTCCCAAGTCCGAAGACACTGCCAGCGACCCGTCGGGGTGGAAGCACAGCCCGTACACCCCGCTGCTGTGGCCCTCCTGCAGCAGCAGCAGCAGCAGCAGCAGCAGCAGCAGCAGCAGCAGCGGCAGCAGCGGGGCTTAAAGTGGCAGGTTGGGTGGGGGTGCTGATTAATTGAATGGATTTGTTTTGTTTGGTTTATTTTACTCTGTTTTATTTTAATTCGTTTGATTTAATTTAATGCATTTAATTTAATTTAATTTAATTTAATTTAATATAATCGAAAGAAGCAAGAGAAGGCGAACGCATGGGGAAAGCAGCAAAAGGAGAAAATACAAAAAGAAGTGAAATAAAAACAAAATAAAATTAAATAAAATCAATTAAATTAAAATTAAATAAATAAATTGAATTAAAATCAAATAATGAACTAATAAAACAAATATAAAATTAAAAATTCTATTTAATTTCAAAAACTTTTTGGAATTAAATTAAATCCACTTCTTCCACAAATTCAAATTCGCGCTTTTCGCCAACTAAATAACTAAACAATCCATCACTTTATTTATTCATTCAATTTAATTTAATTATTAATTAAAATTTATTTATTTATTTATTTTATTTATTTATTTATTTATTTTACCTGCAGCAAAATCTCCTGCTGCGTCTCCAAGTCCCACAGCCGCCAAGTCTCGTCGTGGGAAGTGGAGCCCAAGGCGCGGCCTATAAATAAATAAATAAATAAATAAATAAATAAATAAATAAATAAATAAATAAATAAATAAATAAATAAATAAATAAATAAATAAATAAATAAATAAAGTAATTAATTAATTAATTAATTAATTAGTTTTAAATTATAAATAAATAGAGCTGAGCGGCAGAAAAAGAAAAATGCAAAAAGGCCAAAAAGTCGCAAGATAAAAATAAAGCAAAGCCTAATAAATAATAAATCATTATTTATTAATAATTATTAATAAATAATAAATAATAAATAATAAATAATAAATAATAGAGAATAATTAAATAATAAAAAATAATAAATTAATAATATATTGATAAATAAATAAGAATGAATGACTAACTAATTGATTGGTAAAAAAGAATTCAGGGAGCAGCAGCAGCAGCAGCAGCTCCTGCAACTCGCTGCTGCAGTTGTTGGAGGATATTTAAAATTTTGTTTTGACTTCATTCTCAATTTTAATTATTTTGTTTTAGTTTTTTAATTTCTTCTTATTTCTTTTATTTATTTTTATTTATTTTTATTTCTCTCGTTTGTTTTATTTGTTTTATTTCTATATTTCATATATATTTGCTGCTGCTGCTGCTAGCTGCTGCTAGTTGCTGCTGCTGATTTATTATTTTTCCTCAAGGACCTATGAATCCTCTCTTCTTCTTCTTCTTCTGCTGCTGCTGCTGCTGCTGCTGCTGCTGCTGTGGCAGTTACCTGTGGGGTGGAAGACGACTTTGTTGACTCGGTCTTCGTGGCCCTTGAGGCTGCCGACCAGCAGCTGCTGCTGCAGCAGCTGCTGCTGCTGCAGCAGCTGCTGCTGCTGCGAAGCAGCAGCAAGTCCCTTAACTTCTTCCTTCGCCAGTTTCCCCAAATCGTACAGAGCGATTGTCGCGTCTGCTGCACCGCTAGCGAGCAGCAGACTCTGAGCAGCAGCAGCAGCAGCAGCAGCAATAATTTCACAGGAATTGGCTTCTCTTCTGTTTGCGTTTAATTTGCTTCTTTCCCTCTCACTCAACAGAAGATTTAATTAATTTGCGGAAAAGATCCTTAAAGCCCCGAAAGTAAAACAAACGGATTAACAAACAAACAAACAAGCAGCAGCAGCAGCAGCAGCAGCAGCAGCAGCAGAAGAAGAAGAAGAAGAGAGGATTCATAGGTCCTTGAGGAAAAATAATAAATCAGCAGCAGCAACTAGCAGCAGCTAGCAGCAGCAGCAGCAAATATATATGAAATATAGAAATAAAACAAATAAAACAAACGAGAGAAATAAAAATAAATAA